CCCCCAGATCGCCAGCCTCCGTTTCGTGTTCCTGATCAACCACGAGCTGATCGCGCTGATCCGCAGCGAGGCCGCGCGCCTCGGCCACCAGTGACACCAGTACGGACCAGTACGGACCAGTATGAACCAGTATGAACCAGTATGAACCAGTATGAACCAGTATGAACCAGCATGAACCAGTATGAACCAGTATGGGACTGTCCCAGGGACACCAGTGACACCAGTACCACCAGTGACACCAGTATGAACCAGTATGAACCAGCATGAACCAGTATGAACCAGTATGGGACTGTCCCAGGGACACCAGTGACACCAGTGACACCAGTATGGGACTGGGACTGTCCCAGTGACACCAGGGCCACCAGTATGAACCAGTACGGGACTGGGACTGTCCCATGGACACCAGGGACAGCAGGGACACCAGTATGAACCAGTATAAACCAGTATGGGACTGTCCCAGTGCCACCCCGGACACCGGTGACATCACTGACACCAGTCTGGGACTGGGATCGTCCCAGTGCTCCCAGTTTGGGACTGGGACTGTCCCAGTGCCACCAGTACAAACCAGTACACACCAGTTTGGGACTGGGACCCTCCCAGTGCCCCCAGTTTGGGACTGGGATCGTCCCAGGGACACCAGAAGGGCACCAGTGACACCAGTATGAACCAGTACAGGACTGGGACTGTCCCAGTGACACCAGTAGGAACCAGTGTGGCACCAGTGGCACCAGTCTGGCACTGGGACCCTCCCAGTGGCACCAGTGTGGCACCAGTTTGGGACTGGGATTGTCCCAGTGCTCCCAGTTTGGGGTGGGGACCCTCCCAGTGCTTCCAGTTTGGGGCTGGGACCCTCCCAGTGCTCCCAGTTTGGGGCTGGGACCCTCCCAGTGCTCCCAGTTTGGGGCTGGGACCCTCCCAGTGCTCCCAGTTTGGGCCTGGGACCCTCCCAGTGCTCCCAGTTTGGGGCTGGGGCTCCCCCCACCCCCAGCCCAATCCAGGGCTGAATTTCCTTGGAATTGCCCCAAAATTTCCCCCCAATCAGAAAATTTTGGGACCCCCCCCCCCCAAAATCCCAAATTTCGGCGCCTTCCCAAAAAGAATTCCCGGTTTTTAAAGCTCCAAAGTTTTTATTGGATTTTTGTCAAGTTTTCGTTCGTTGAGGGGGGAAAAATTCCCAAAAAAAAAAACAAACTTGGAAAAAAGAAAAAAGGGGGAAAAGGAGAAAATTGGGAAACCTCCCAAAATTCCCAAAAATTCCCAAAAATTCGGGGCTGGGATTGGGGTTTGGGGAGGGGAGGGGGGAGGAAATTCCTGAAATAAATTCCAGAGAAAATCCAAAAATGCTGGAGTGTCGTGGGGGGGAGGGGGGAGACCTGGAATTCCAAAGGGGAAATCCCAAATCCCAAATGGAAATCCCAAATTCCAAAGGGGAAAATCCCAAATTCCAAAAGGGAAATGCCAAATTCCAGAGAGGAAAATTCCAAAGGGAAAATCCCAAATTCCAAAGGGGAAAATCCCAAATCCCAAGAGGAAAATCCCAAATTCCAAAGGGAAAATTCCCAAATTCCAAAGGGAAAATCCCAAATTCCAGAGGGGAAAATTCCCAAATCCCAAATGGAAATCCCAAATTCCAAAGGGAAAATTCCAAATTCCAAAGGGGAAAATCCCAAATTCCAGAGGGGAAAATCCCAAAATTCCAAAGGGGAAATCCCAAATTCCAAAGGGAAAATCCCAAATTGGGGGTCCCCGGGGGGCGCTGGGGGGAGGGGCGGGGTCCGGCCGCTCCCGGAGGTTTCCGGCTCCGCTGGGGGGGCTGCGGGAAAAGGGAAATGATCCCAAATTCCAGGAAATGATCCCAAATTCCAGGAAATGATCCCAAATTCTGGGAAATGATCCCAAATTCTGGGAAATGATTCCCAAATCCTGGGAAATGATCCCAAATCCCGGGAAATGATCCCAAATTCTGGGAAGGGGAAATGACCCCAAATCCCAAATCCTGGGAAATGATCCCAAATCCCAATCCCAGAGAAAATCCCTGAATTGCCAAATTCTGGGAAGGGTGGGAGAGAAAAGGGGGGAGAGCCCGGATCCCAAATCCCAGCCCCAGCCCCTCCGATCCCGATCCCGATCCCGATCCCGATCCTGATCGCGATCCCGATCCCAATCCCGATCCCAATCCCAATCCCGATCCCAATCCCGATCCCAATCCCGATCCTGATCCCAATCCCGATCCTGATCCCAATCCTGATCCTGATCCCGATCCCAATCCCGATCCCAATCCTGATCCCGATCCTGATCCCGATCCCAATCCCAATCCTGATCCCAATCCCAATCCTGATCCTGATCCCAATCCTGATCCCAATCCCAATCCTGATCCTGATCCCATCCCGATCCCAAATCCTGATCCCGATCCCAAATCCCATCCTCATCCAGATCCCAGATCCCAAATCCCAGATCCCAAATCCCAGATCCCAAATCCCATCCCGATCCCAAATCCCATCCTGATCCCAAATCCCATCCCGATCCCAAATCCCATCCTGATCCCAAATGCCATCCCGATCCCAAATCCCAGATCCCAAATCCCATCCCACAAATCCCATCCCGATCCCAAATCCCATCCTGATCCCAAATCCTGATCCCGATCCCAAATCCCATCCCGATCCCAAATCCCATCCTGATCCCAAATGCCATCCCGATCCCAAATCCCATCCTGATCCCAAATGCCATCCCGATCCCAAATCCCATCCTGATCCCAAATGCCATCCCGATCCCAAATCCCATCCTGATCCCAAATGCCATCCCGATCCCAAATCCCAGATCCCAAATCCCATCCCAAATCCCATCCCAATCCCAAATCCCAGATCCCAAATCCCAGATCCCAAATCCCATCCCGATCCCAAATCCCGGATCCCAAATCCCGATCCCAAATCCCGATCCCAAATCCCAGATCCCAAATCCCAAATCCCGATCCCAAATCCCGATCCCACATCCCAGATCCCAAATCCCAGATCCCCCCGTGTCCCACTCCCACCTGTGGGGTCGGGGGTGGCTCCGTTGGGGCCGCGCCGCCCTGGGGGGGTCCCGGGGCCGATCCCGGGGCCGATCCCGTCGGGAATTCCGGGGGTCCCAGGGGGGATCCCGGGGCTGATCCTGCTGGGAGCGCCGGGGCCGATCCCGATCCCGATCCCGATCCCGAGGATCCGGGGCCGGAGCTGCAGCGGGAGCGGCTGGAATAGCTCGGCCTGGGGTGGGAAACTGCAGAGAGAGAGGGACTGGGAACACTGGGAATACTGGGAATACTGGGAATGGGGACACTGGGAATGGGAATGGGAACACTGGGAATGGGAACACTGGGAATACTGGGAATACTGGGAATGCTGGGAACGCTGGGAATACTGGGAATACTGGGAATACTGGGAATACTGGGAATACTGGGAATGGGAACACTGGGAATGGGAACGCTGGGAATACTGGGAATACTGGGAATACTGGGAATACTGGGAATACTGGGAATACTGGGAATACTGGGAATACTGGGAATACTGGGAATACTGGGAATGGGAACACTGGGAATGGGAACGCTGGGAATACTGGGAATACTGGGAACACTGGGAATACTGGGAAGCAGCATTCCCAGTTTTTTTCCCAGTTTTTTTCCCGGAATCCCAGACCCACCCTGCCCCGAGGCCGGGGCCATTCCCGGGGCAGCATTCCCAGTTTTTTTCCCCAATCCCAGACCCTCCCTGCCCCGAGGCCGGGGCCATTCCCAGAGCAGCATTCCCAGTTTTTTTCCCAGTTTTTTTTCCCGGAATTCCAGACCCACCCTGCCCGAGGCCGGGGCCATTCCCGGGGCAGCATTCCCAGTTTTTTTCCCAGTTTTTTTCCCCAATTCCAGACCCACCCTGCCCGGAGGCCGGGGCCATTCCTGGGGAGGCATTCCCAGGTTTTTTCCCAGTTTTTCCCGGAATTCCAGACCCACCCTGCCCGGAGGCCGGGGCCATTCCCGGGGCAGCATTCCCAGTTTTTTTCCCAGTTTTTCCCGGAATTCCAGACCCACCCTGGCCGAAGGCTCCGATGCTGCCCCTCAGCGCCTCGAGGTCGCAGCCGAAGCGCCCGGCCCGGCCCAGCTCCTCGTCGAACTTGCGCTCGCTGACAAAGTGCTGGGAACAGCCGGAACATCGGGAATGCCGTGGGAACGGGAACAGCCGGAACAACGGGAATGCCGTGGGAATGGGAACAACGGGAATGCCGTGGGAACGGGAACAACCGGAACAACGGGAATGCCGTGGGAACGGGAACAA